TTTTAAATTAAAAAAAAATTGATGATTCGGAGTCAACGATGATTTGAGTCTATTTCCGTAGGTTGAGCACGATAGGTCAGAGAAGGAGCTCGGATTTTTTGGAGTGTCTTAAACCCGGACTCATCTCTGAGAGCGCAACAGTAGGAACGTCCTTGTGATTAAAATAGTTCAAATATTTTTTCCGAGAACCATCAAGTCACGCGATTCCAGCAAGGGGACCCGCTCCGTGCTACCCATGTCGAGCTGTAAATTTTCAATCTTATTTCCACCGAGGTTTCGCTTTAAATATGCGGCGCCAGCAAGCGTCGACCAATGGCTTTGATCTGCGCAAGACTGGCATTTGAATGGAATTTCTCCCATCCAAGAGCCTCTAAAATCCTGCTTTTTCTCCTGGAGAGACTTTTCCATTCACCTGCAAATTTATTTGCGCCTCTTTTCAACTCGCAAGCTGTGGTTGGAAGGAGAGAAGAGGTTTGGGTGGGACCCCGTCATTTAAACAAGATGCGAATGATTTATTCCTTGAACTCGAAGCTTTCATTATCCTACTTCAAAACTAATTTCTTCTTTTTTTTTTCCCCTGAATGGGAACTTCCATTCATTTCACTCGAGGTAATGATTCAATGATACATAATCATTGACACGATTCAATCCACGATCCGTCAGCCCTCTCAGCTGCTTGAATTTGGACGGTTTCCATCCCGCCCGTTGCCAAGAGAGGTTCTGGAGTCTCGACTTTTTCTTTTTCCTCTCCGACTCGTAAAGCAAAGTTCCTTGGCGGTGGTGCCGACTAAGACAGGCTCCGAGAATTATTTTGTAGTTGGGAAGAGCTCTGCAAGGCTGTCGATAGTTGGCTCTTGCCTTTTTTTTGTTTTGTTTTTGCTGCTTGTAAAAGCTCTGCGGGCTTCCCCGCAATTAAGAGACTTTCTAGAGACCTCCAGGACCGTTTTTAGAGAATTTAAGGCCAAAAAAAGTCCCGGTGCCTTTGTCCAGGCTATAGAAAGGTTCTTGGTTTCTCTTCAGCTGCTTCATTTCATTAAGTTTTGGTGATTGCTTCTGCCTTCTGGAGTGCCTCTTGGGCTCCTGGAAGTTGAGAAATATTTTTTATTTAAGGATTTGAAAGACTGAAAGTACTTGAGATTCTGCAGAAAGCAGTCGAAGCGTCGAAGTTGCAAACCGCAGCAGGACCGGTTTGGAAATTATCTTTATTTGCAGTCTTGTGGCTTTTATTTAAGGACAAAACCAAACCCATGAGGTGTCTGGACACATCTGTGAAATTTCTTAGTGCATTTTTTTTTTTTTAGGGTGGTTTTTTGGGTTCTTTTTTTCTCTTAGGAACCCCGCCGCCACCTTTTCCTTCACGAGCTGGTTGGTGCTAGCGCCTGCGGTTGCCCTGCCCGCTAGTTATTTGTTTCCTTGTGTTTTTAATCTTGTGTTTTCGCGGTAAATTTTTTAGTCAGTTGACGGTCGTGTGAGGAAAAAGGATGTAAAGCCTGATCTTCTGGGCAGCGTTACAGGAAGAAATGATCCTGCGGACAGATGGATCTCGCTGACTGGCATTTTACTACCGGATTTGACTGGCGAATAATAACCCGGTTAGGAAGAAATAGGCTTGTCACTCAGCATCTCTAATTATGAAGCGAGAGAATTTCCTCCCGGCGACATCAGCTTTCTGTAATCCTCGTCCTCCAGGACGCGGAGCGGTTCGTGTCTTCGGCGCGGCCTTAATCAAACGTTATCTGGGCTTATTTTGACACTTGTTGCCGTCGCAAACCGTGTATTATCGCTGCATTTAATTAAGAGAGCTAATGGCCGTTGAAGGAGGATATATTTATTCCGTCAATCTTATGCAATATACCAAAAAAAAATAAAATAAAAGTGCTAGTAATAGGGAATTAAGGCCCTGGAATAGAGAACTTTTGAAAAACTAAAGAATCCTTTGGAATTGTGCTGTCTCAAAGCAACCTGATTTTTTTTTTTTGCTTGGATGCAAATGGCCATATATTGCTCATCTTTAAAAGGTCACAATGCCCCTTGACTGTTATTTTTTCCGGTGTTCCTGGCAAATACACGCCGTGGAGGGGCTCTGGGATTGTTAGTCCCAACCTCAACCTCTTCACGTATGCCGGAATAAAAAGGGTCGGAGTTTCGTGACGCTTGCTGGCCCCTCCCTGGAGGTTTCTCTCACCCGTCAGGTTTTTCTGCCTTGTCCTAGGGGTTCCGATTTTTCGCGTCTGTCTTTAAGCAGATCCAGAGGTAAATTCTTCCTTCCCGCTGTCCTCGCTAAATCGGAGCGGCTGCCACGAGCTGGGTTTTCCAGCCCTGCCCCGTGCCTTCAATCCTACCTGCGCAAAACGGGTGTCGGGTGTTGCCCTGTATTGTTTTTGCCGTAAGCGCGTAGCGGGTGTAAAATACTCTCCGTCTATTCTTTCCTTCTCTAAAGAATCGGTGGGGAAGCGAGGGAGCCGCTTACTCGGCGTGATTAAAAGCGAACCGACGGCCTTTAATTGAATTTGCTCATTACGAATTCGCCGCGTATTAATATATTTTTATTATCGAGTTCCTTAACGCTTCGTCAAGCCGCTTTGCTAATAGCAGCCGTGTAACCGCGGTGTATTTTAAGTTTGCAGCTCCAAGAGGTTTAGAGAGTGGGTTTGGTTAGATAATGGTTTTTAATTCAGCATTTTGCTAATTCAAAGGACCCAGCAGTGAAATATCTAATCCCAGGTTGAGGCTATTCTGTCTCTATCACGTCTTTCTACAAAAAAAATCCCAAAAATAACCGTATAAGGACCGACTCTTGAAAATCTGGCAGTCTTGTCACTGCCAGGAATTCCTCAACATCTTTCTTCACTGCTCGTATGTCCAAATATTGACTAGATGGACTCTAGCAGAGCTGTGAATGAACGATATTGGTGACTTCTGCGCTGAAACGCCGCAGCCGAGGGGTGAAAATTAACGCGAGCGATGCGGAAAATACCCAACAACTCGATCTCTCTTGGAAACAGATGTCGGGGGACTTAAGATTTGAGACATTTGCCAAAGCAGCCTTTTGCCGATGTGTGAAAATAAACGTTGAGGGATGCTTCAAGCTCGTGCCGGGGACGCGGCGGAGGTAAGGAGGAGCAGCAGTTATATCAAAAAGCTAAAAAAATTCCCCCAAACGGAGCATAAAGGTCTGAATTTTCATTTTTAGGGAGGAGTGTTTGGAAAATATGTGTTGTCCCCATCCCAAATTATTCAAGACTAAAAACTCCGGCGTGTTTGCAGGGCTGGTGCTCAGGAGGAGCTGGCTTGAGTGATTAAAAAATGAATGAGCCACGTTCAACAGGTGCATCTGCATCTTTTTATACCCAGTTGAAGCTATAAATCGTAAAAACGAGCTCGATAAACATTTTCCTGTTGTAAAGATTACAGGATGCGATCAACAGCTACTCCGGAATGATTTTTCCTTGAGTTTTTTGAGGTCTTGTTGATAACTTGCCGGCGTTTCTGACACGCCGGCTTATTGTGGTTGCGTCGAAGCTTCAAATGAAATTCAAATATTGTATAACTTGCAGATTTCCCTGTCACTGGGTGTATTTTCCGACTTAAAAGCCATTTTTGTGCAATGAAAGCAAGCGTGTTACAGTGGGAATAGTCGTAATGCTGCGCCTTTTGCTTCGGAAATAACACAGACTGATCTTTTGCGGTTGCTGAGGAAGGAAAAGAAAGAAAAAATCGCATTTTGGATTGGATAGTGGGGAAATTAATTGACTTAATTGGTAGAAATGGGCTCTTTGGGAGCGAAAACCCCTTCAGTACCCAACCGAAAGCACCGAATGTCGGCAATTTAATTCTAACCTTTATTCTTTCCCCAGTGAGTGGTTGTATTCACGTTACAGTATCCCCTGTTTTGCAGGACTTGATGATCTTTCTAGGTTGGATTTGATGATCTCAGAGGTTTTTTCCAGCCTCAACAATTCTGTGAGGCTGTGATTTTGAAGGCCTCTACCAAGAGAAATTGTTTTATAATTCCGTGGCTCTCGCTTTTTCCTTTACCGTTGGTATTTACATGCTTTTCTCTATGTATAAAAGTCAAGCAAGATGGGGAACTGAGGCTCCGAGGGCTTTGCCCACCGTGTTACGGGGCTGTGGAGTTTAGAAAACCAAGGGAAAAAAAATTCTAACACTTGAATTTAACGCTGGAGCTTCAGTAGGAAACCTGTTACCCAATATTTATGCGTCAGGTAGGGTTCCTCTTTTCCTTTTTGAGCGAAGAAGATTGTCTAGGGGGGAGGATGATGCGTTCCGTTCTTAAAAGGAGATTTTTTTCAAGGAGTCGTACCATTAGACAGCCAAACCCAACGTGCAGAATGAGTTTTAATTTCATGAATTAGCACAGTTAGCGGACGAGTGAAGAAGTTACGGGCTCGCCCTTTGCTCTTGGCGGCTCCTTCTTGCTGTTTTGGCTTTTTTTAGTCAAACAAATAAATGTTGAAGCAGAGAGGCCGGGCGGTGAGGTGGAGTCGCGGCGAACAGAACCTTTTTCTGGGGCGGGGAAAAAAGTAACAAACACTTTAGAAACTTTACAGGCGGGGAAGAGTTGTTGGTATTCAAGGCAGGCGGCGCGAGGCTCAGGAATGAGGTCGGTATTCAGCGCCCGCTACAACGGGGCGCTTGTGCGGCGCCTCGGGGTTTGTCTCGACGAGCCAACGGGACGCAGAAACCAATTCCTCAGCCTTAATGGTCAACGAGACGGGGAGGAATCGGAGGAGCGAGGACGAGAAGCAGGGCTGGATGAGGCGGGGACTGGAAGCAGTTGGCACGTTCGGTCGGTCCGTGCTTCGACACCTCGGGTGGTTCGTTGAGCCGTAGTAGAGTTGGTAACATCACCCAAGTAAATAAGTAAATAAATAAAGAGCTTTTTCGAACCTGCGGCGTCGGAGGAAATCCTCTCGATGGCTTTTTTTTGCAGGCGAGTCGGCTTCCTCCACCAATCGGGGAGGAATTAGTTGGTTTTTTGCACTTTGGATTTGTTTAGCGAACCCCTGGCGGAGGACGCCGGCCTCGCCTGGGTTATAGCTTTTTTTAAATTTGTATTTTTTCTTCTCGGAAATAATTGGAATCAAAAAATGAACTACAGGGGTGGCCGAGAGCAGGCACAAGCTTGGCAAAAAGCCCCAAAGCCACTGCCCCATCTGCCTCGGATTATCCGCACGAGTAGGTTTTCTTCCTCGGAATCCCCGTCACCGTATGGCAACATTCACAGCGGAAATTATTTCAACCGCGTTCCCGCGTAGCTACAAACACTCCGTATTTACAATCTGAGCCGTTTCAATTTGGAAACGCATCGGAGTGAGTAATGTCGTGTCGGGCGGCTCCTTCTGTTTTCCTCTCGGAGCTGGCGAAGTGGAAAAAGAACTTTTTTTTTCCTCGTGGGAAAACTTTCTCAGGGTGGGAACAGGACGTCGGGGCCGTTTGGATACATTTGCTGATCGGGAGCCGCCGTTATTGCCCGTTTTTTAATAAGAGGGACCGAATTTTGTGCTCTTTTACGCTTTTCCTCCTCTCAAAAGATGTGTTTAACAGCTTCTTCAGCGGAGATGCAATCATATTCTTTTGTTGGGTGTGGTTACGTAAGGGAAAAAAGAAATGATCTGGCTTTTGAGAGGTTTGAAGAGAACGTTCTGCAGCTGTTGAGAAAGCTCGGAGGGAGCGTCTTCACCTTTACAAGAAAGAAAAGAGATGAGGAAAACACGGCGGCACAACTTCAGGGTGGAGAGAGCCCGAGGCTTTGTCCTCTGGAGGACAAGTAGCTCCGGAAAAAATAAGGAGAAAATGTTCTTTGACTCGAGATGTTTCAATTCTGGGGCAGAAATATTTGGGTTTTTTTGCTTATTTGCCTTAAAACCTCGCTCCTAACAGGGAGAAGCGGCTGCTTGACCACAGGATAATCATTTGGGATTCCTTTTCCCCTTCTTTGTCCCGGGTGGGACTGAATTCTCTGACTTTGGAAGCCACTGAAGTTGAGGTGGAGGAGTTTCTTTTGATGTTTTAACTCGGCATCTATTCCTCCCCCTTTTCATCCTTACTGATAAGACCCCACATCTGGCCACATCTGTGGGCCTTTCTTTTTTTGTATCCCACTCAACTCTCCCCTTTTCGCCCTTTTCTGATTCAGTGCGAGATTGATTTCTATTTTTTTATTTATTTTTTTGTTCCTTTCTCCCCGTTTCTTTGCCTGTTCCCTCGCCCAGGGGAGTTTCATCTTTCTCATCGTCTACGTGATTGAACCTAATAATAAGGGAATCGAGTAACTTAAGTGATTTAGATAAAAATTGAGCAAAGCTTCCACACGCCGCAAGCTTGTGCGCTGCGTTTTACCTTTCTTGGAGTAGGATTTTTAGATTTTTTTTTATTTTGCATCAAATGCAGGCAGGAGGCATCAATATTCCAAAATTTCCTCGAGCCGAAATGAAATATTCCGGTATAATAAAAACATTAAACCCAGAGTTCTGCTTTTAATATATATTAAGCTTCGTCTTAAGCGGGTTTGGTGCAAACAGGTAAAACTGGGCCAAGTTTTGCTGCGGTTTTTTTTTGCACGTAAATAAAGGTTTATTAGGCTGGCTGTTAAATGAATTTATGCAGGCTCTGGAGATGAAAATGAGGGGGAAAAAATCCTCTGAGAAAAGAATCTGAGTGTCCGTAAATACACTTCATTGTAACAGGCTTAGTTCAGCTCCCGTATTTCTGTATTCACAGATTTCAAACGGTCTGTGCGTAAAAGTCTCTTTTCTTTTTTCAAACAAACATTAAGAAATAAGAAGAAAGCTCCAGGGGTGGCCGGCTCAGACGCTTTCGCGGCTGTGACATCTCTTCCCTCTCTATAAGGGGAGCGACTGATGCAGAACATAAAGGGGGAAAATAAAAAAAAAAAAGAAAAATCACTCCACCTGTAAGACGCCGGACGCAAAGCGCAGGATTCAAAGCGAGGGGCTGATTAAGAAGATCATCTTTTAAATGTTAATTCCTTCTGTGGCCCGCAGAAACGATAACCTTCGAGTCGCTCTGATGGTACCTGTCAGGGCGAGCAGCCCCGGGAGGTGGATTCCTGTGGCATCTTACCTTGAAGTTTTCTTTTCTTTCTTTCTTCGGCTAAAGGGCTCTTGCCAAGGGACGCTCTCCTTGACCCCGGAGCTTCAGATCTCCGAGCGGTGCTACAGCCTCGTTTGATGGCTCCGCTCGGAATAGCCGCCGCCGGGGAGGAGGCGTTTCATCCCGCCGCCGCTCCCCCTCCTGCTTGTGGTTAAGCCGCGGATCCAAGGTTGCCCTGGACCCCCCCGGTTTCAGCAACCTCGGGTCCATAATTTGCTCTTAAATCGCGTTTTCCTCAAATACGAAGGCGGTGGGCGCCAGGTGACGGCTGCGAGCACGCGTGTGAAAGGTGAACCTGTTTACGATGCGGTTTTTTCATCTCAATCTGACTTTTAAAGCTTTTTTTTAGAGGCAAAGAGCCTTGGAAGCAAGTCCCAGGGAAGGCAGCTGGGCTGGGAGCAAAACTCGGGGACAACACGACCGTGTTTTACAGCGAGTTGTAGAAGAGCTCTTCATCTCTTCTTTCTCCTGCCTGGCTGCCTTCTTTATTTTTTTTTTTTTTCTGTCCTCCTTGCCTCCGGTTTCAGTTGAGCTGTTGCAACAAGGCTGAAGTTGGAGGTTTAACACCCGAGTCTTATGAAAATAGCCAAGTAGCTTTTACGGTTGCGGCTGCTTCGGGTACGCGAGACTTACTACAGCGCGTAACGCCAAAAAAGCTCGGATGGGAGTTGGCTCAGGCTTGAGTATGACCTAAAAATTCTGAGGATTTTGGTATGACCCAAAATTCTAACCAGGCTGGAAGTGATACAGGGAAATGCTTCTTAAGCCTGACTTACACCTCGGTGCAAACATGCCTTTACAACAGGTTACTGGAGAAATTACACTCTGGTTTTTCTACAGCATTTTAGGAATTGGAGCTGTCAGCTTCCTTGTAATAAAGCACTTGAGGTTAAATGTGCCTTTTTGCAAAGCCAAAATCACAACTGAACCGTGAGGGTAATTGCACGAAAAGGAAGTTAATCTTTGTTTAACTTCTGTAACTTTTCCTGCGCTGGAAGCTGTCATAATCCCGTTTCTCCTGCCGCAGCGGATTATTTACCCCTGATAACTGCCCCGTAAAATCATTAGGACGCTGTCAGAAAGAGCTGCCTTCGAAGCGTTGGCCAGAGAAATAAAATGCCCAACGAGAAGCCGGGAGTTAGAGAACGCGGTTGCCTTTGGGAGAAGGGAAGGGAATGTGTGCGTTTTAAAATAAATGCTCTTTCGTAATTGAAACGGATGAAGAACAAAGTGGGATTTGCCCACTTTTTCTGATATTGTACGATACTTTTCATTCAAAGTTCTTACAGCGCTGCTGTGGTCTTGGCTGAAATACTTGACGAGTTGTGGCTTCTGACTCTTGTGGTCTCCCTCGTTCAATTTTTGAAGCTGTGACTTCTTTGCTGATGTGCTTTGAAGGAGAATCTCAGACCTAACTACTCCAGGTAGAACTAAATACTTGGCAATAAAATGAATTTCTAGAAAGAAAACCCCAGGTGGCTGTTTAGGCGTTGGTATATGTACATTTATTGGAAGCTTTCCAGGAGCCAGAGGTCTACTCCTAAACCTGGCAGAATGCAAAAATGGCTTTTACTTTTATTTTTTTTTTCCTCGTCATCAATATCATCTGATAGTTTTGTACTCGAGTGTAGTTGCTGAGATTTGAGAAGACTGCGTTGGCTAAAAAAGCCAAGTTGTATGTGCTTCGCCTGGTTCGAAATTATTAAAAACCGCTTGACGGGGTAGCAAGGACTATTTTGAGTTGTGTCGTTTGGCTTTTCGATGATTTTTCTACCTCGGGTTGTAGCTCTGAGGGCATCTTCTGCATTTATGTCCGATTTGTCTCCTAACTACACCAAGTTGATGGGTGGAGGATGTTCCACCAAGCTCAAAGCACCGTTCTCCATCTAATTCATTACGTAGGCGAGGTGCTGGACCCGATATCGCAAAGTTAACAGTCGGACTGGATCGTAGAAGGTCTTTTCCAACCCAAACGAGTCTGTTTCTTCCTCGAACCGATGTTTACTCCTTGTCCCTTATGGTTTTTCCTGTTCCAGGTTCACCGACGAAGGCTTTCACGTCGCTGAGGTTCTTGACGGAGCCTTCGGACGCCGTCACCATGCGCGGGAGCAACGTGCTGTTGAACTGCGCGGCGGAATCGGATCGGGGAGCCCCCGTTATTAAGTGGAAGAAAGACGCCGTCTTCTTAAACCTGGCGGTGGACGAAAGGAGGCAGCAGTTGGCCAACGGGTCGCTCCTCATCCAAAACATCGTCCACTCCAGGCACCACAAGCCGGACGAAGGGCTCTACCAGTGCGAAGCGTCTCTCGAAGACGTCGGAGCTATCATCAGCCGCACGGCCAAGGTCATGGTAGCAGGTAGGGAGAAACGTTTGTGCCTTTTTGGGTTGCTGGAAAAATTCTTTGTGAGAAGCTGCTTTTTTTTAAAAAAAAAAGAGCAGAAAATGTGCATAAAAGCGCTTTCAAGTGCTCTATTTTTTTTTTTCCCCTTCTCTTCAAAAGAAGTAACGCTAGATATGACACTTCGGCGACAGTAATTTATTTCTGACAAGGTATTATTCGTGTTTAAATATGTCTAATCACCTCTTTGTTGCATTTTGAGTTATCTGCTGCATATTTATTGTCTTCAAACTAGATGAAACCTCTGAAGTCGAAAATTAACTGCTTTTCCCAAGAATTGAAGATCACACGCAAAAATTTGCCAAACTTCTGTAGGGCACGCAACGTACAGATTTTCTGATGGTTTAGGAACCTTTTTTTTCATAGACGAGAACTCATGAGGCGGCTTTCTGGCGTTGGCAGCCTCTTTGTGTTTAAAAAGCGCCGCGTAGGGATGCGGCAAAAAGACCGGAAGTTTCTTACCAGGCATTTGAGAACGGCTGCTCGTCGATTTTAATACCTTTGTGAAAGGTGTTGGTGGTTTTAAGAGGTTTTCTTTGTCTCTTCCATCAGTCTGTAGAAGGACTTAAAGGCCTCAATCATCTAATTATTGGATAGAAAAAATGTTTTCATCTTCTCCGATATCCTTCATGAGCTTGGGGTCTCTTCCAGTATTAAGGTTCTTGAAAATTCTTCCCCTCCTAACTCTACCAGCTAGAAAAATCACATTTTCTCCTGGTATCTGACGAAAACAGGTAATAATCAGCTCTTTCCTAATCTACCTCGTCTTCCCCGCCGCTCTTCTGTCTGAATTTCTGGTCGTTTAACCTCCCGTCCTCAGCGGCGTGCGTCCTCCCGCGCTCCAATTCCTCCTCAAAGCGACGACGAGCCCCCCCAGATGCGAAGGAATCGGTCGTCGTGTTGTCGAGCGCTTTGCCAAGTCGGGCTTTTTGCCAGCTCGAGTTGTTCTTTGGCCTCGATCTCGGTCGTTGGCAACCGCGACTAAAATTCACGTTGGAAGCGAACGCGGGGATGGGAGCGTTCCCCGTCGGGCCATGCCTGGCTCCATAATTTTGAGCTTTGCGTGGCGGCTCCTGATCTCGTATCCCTGCGGCGAAATTTGGGGTGGAGGGGGCTTGTTCCGTCCACCAACGATTTGGCTGGAACTGGAAGAAGCGATAAAGATTTCTTAATTGGAAAAAGAATGAAAAGGGCGAGAGGCAACGCATGCGACAACTGAAATACTGGTTATTTGTTTCAGCGTATTTTTGTTATACGGGTAATCTGGATTTTTATTGTTTTTTTTTTCCCTCAATTGCATGAAAATTATTATAAGGTGGAACATGAGATGTACGGCGTTTGAAATCGCAATTTTTTGGAGGGAGCTGCTGTGCAGAACGCTGGCAGAACTTCCCTGACTTAAGGCGCTGGCAGATGGAAACGTGACAGAGGGCAAGAGGAGAAATGAAGGTCTCGCGCTCGAGGATGTTGCGTTAATCGTCTCTTGGCAAAGCAAATCAACTTCTTACGTTCCGAAAAGCCTCTTTTTACAGCGAGATGAGGCTGGGGGTAGGGTAGGGCTGTATTTAGCGTTACAACACTCGCAAACTGAATTTTTCTGCCGCGTTGGACGACGGCGGCGTCGCTAAACAGCCCTTTTTGCGGAAGTGCTTGCCGGGCTGTTTGGCGACAGGGAAAATCCGTCAACGTTTACGTCTTTCGGAGGTATCTTTCTCGGAGTAAAGGTTTCACGGTGCTTTTTAAAGCTTTAACAGTCAATAAAGTAGTCGCGGCTCAAAGGTAACGCTTGGTTCGGCGTGGAGCAGCCCGATCGGGGGTACTGAAAGTATATTGGCCTTTTCAAACCGTTCCCCTTAAGCTTTCAGGGCTTCAAGTGCTTTCAGTAAAGACAATGTGGCGAGTGAAACCCGATTTTAATCGGGGAAGGATTTTACGGGTGAAGGTTGCCACGTACCGGGAAGAAAATACGCGCTTTCCAAGAATTTCTCGAGGGTCCTGCCGCGCTCCGGCTGTAAAAGTGTTCCGGGTTGAAATGGAAGTGAGAGCGCCGGAGAGAAACCGCTGCCTTCCCCAGCGTTTTGTTAAAACTCCCAAATTAACAGCACACTGGTTGTTGATATTTCTACTGATTTGTAGGATGAGAACCACGCTACCTCGTCGTGTAAGATGGTCGCGGGATCAATCGGTCAAAGCTTTTGGCTTTACTGGTCTTTCAGAGGAGGATAAAAGCACCTCTTAAATTCTTGGAGAGCTTTAAATGATTTTAAAAGTATTTTTTTAGACGATGCTTGCCGCCGTCAGGAAGACAAGCTGCTAGGACAGACGTTGAACCTAAGGTTGAAATCTTGCGGGCGGGAAGAAATTCGAAGTCAGAGCTTTGTCGTCTTCCTAAATTGGTTTTGGGAATACCCGAAATCCGCTGATAATTCTCCAAGATCTGTGGAAGCGCGCGTGGAATGGCTAAGAAATGATGCACTATAACACGAGGTGCTATTGCCTGCCTGTATTTTGGGTTTTTCATGAGATAAGTAGGAAACAATCGTAGTGACACAAGGAGAAAACACCTTGAAGGAACTCTGGGATAAAAGCCGAAGACCTATTACATGAAAATTTAAGAAATATTCTGTTGGACAGAGTAAATAAAACCTAGGATGAAGCGTTTTGTATTTCTTGATCTAGGATTGCTTGCTTTTTATTTAATCAGAAATAAATAAAAACTGAAAAGATTGCATTCCAAAATTAAATGTTCGGGAGGCATAACGGGATTTCTAACAACTGAAATCAGCCGCTGTTGACTTAATCTTGGTTGGATTCCGAATCACGGGAGATTTTTAGCTTATTGAACACAACAATAATAAAAGTAGCGAAGAAAAGGAGAAGAAATCCTCCTTCTCTCCCAAACTCGTTTTTGGGACTCCAGAAATGGATTTTCTTGACAAATGGCGGTGGCGTTGGGTCGATGGTCGGACTTGGAGAGCTTTTCCAACCTTAATGATTCCACGAGTCTCTTCGTATTTTGAAATTGCGGGATTGCTGCTACTTAGGACACTTAAAAGCTAGGAGGAAACCTTTTGTAAATTTTTTTTTTTTAAAAACACCCCAGAAATTATTTTGCTCAGAAAAACCAGAGGTCTGAAAAGCAGGAGCTAAAATCACAGGGTTTGTGCTGATTCATTCATCGTTTTTCTGAGTTTATCAACCCGCAGAAGAGCGACATTCCAGAATCAAGAACTGTTTGAGAACTAAGTTTTTTTGTTTAAGCGGGCCGTGAGGTGACAACAAAAACTTGGGACTTTTCTGCACCGTGTCCGCCTTCTACTCGTGGGACGGTGAGGGATGCTCGGCGGGAGCGCGCCCCGATTCCTGCTCTTCTTACCCTCGTGCGGCGCGGAAACGGGCCTTCGATTAGCAAATTTCATTCAGGGAAAAGGTTTTCCTTTCGGTTTGGAGCGCCCGGCAGAGATTTACTTTGGCTGACCGTTGAGGAGATTGGATTGGCACAGGAGCAGCCTCGGGTAGCGAGGGCGGGTGGTTTTGGTGAATTAAAATAACGAGACGTAATAGATCAGAGGCGTCGGAGGACGGTCCGGAGATCATTTTTCCGGGAGAGGGTTGTTCCTGCGCCACGTTTGTCCGCTCTGCTTTTACAAGCCTTTAGTGATAAGACTCTTACGACCCCTCAGGGACTGTCTCGTGGAGCTGTCGGGATGGTTTTTTCCTGGGAAATTAAACCTTTAGTTTTCTTGGCGGCGGCGCTTTTGTCCTTTGCTGCGCAGGACAAAGGTGCTTTTGGGGTATAAAGTCTGAAAACAGATGCTTGATTTCAAAGGTTCTATAAACTCTTTGGGTTTTCTTCCTGATAAGAAAATCGTTCGTGTTTGCGGGGCTGATGATTTTTTTTTTTTTTTTTTTTGGAATTGGGTCTTGAACAGGTGAGAAAAAGAAATGAAATAGAGATTAAAACCCCCTGATTGATAAATAACAAAAGAGAGCTTGTTGCTCTTTAGGTGCTGACTTTTCAAGTTGCTGCCCTGAAATTCCTGCTTGGAATGAGCAGGATTGTCCAGCCGGCTTTTGCAACTCCAATTTTCCCATGTCCGACCTCCATCTCTGGTACTGAGGAACACCATCTCAGTCTTTGCTTTACGACCAAGAACAAGAGGGATCGTTATTTCTTTAATTGCCATCTGACACGTTAAAAACCTTTTGGACCTCTTGCTCAGACCCTCCTTTTACCTTTTCTGGACTAAATAAACCCGATTTGACTGATGTACGTGCATCATATTCTCAAATATCAGAATATTTTGCTTAGTTGGCCGTCCTGATGATACATGTTTAGCCAGTAAAATAGAAATAATTTTATAATTCTATTTATTGCACAAGATTATAGAAGAGCAAAGAGCTATTCCTTTGGCAAAAGCTTTGGAAGTTTTTCGGAACCGCTTTCTGTGAACCCTTTGCCTTGGTTCTCCAGGGCAATATTTCCGTTATCCTGCCCGTGAAGCTGGAACACAGCCACGAAATCATAGTTTGCAACAATTTAGGATGTATTTTATTTTATTGAAAGCGACTGTAGAGCGTGCTGGAGTCAGATTTTGCCTCGCGTGCCTGGGAAACTCAATTTTTGGTTATCTCGAGGAGCACAAACTTGTAAGTTTTTTGAGAGCTGGGTCAGCCAGAGCAGAAAAGCTTTGCGATACGCTCAGCGGCATCGTTTGAAGTACTAAAGTACATTTTTTTGGTGACAACTTGGGCTCTGTAGCGCTTGATTTGCTTAAGTGGGTCCCCCCTGGAGGGTTTTTGGCTCGTGCGCTCTCCGGTTTAGCTGACCAAGTTCTGAGTCAGCGTATTCTTTTGCTGGCTGATGTTTTTGCTTGCGATGTTCTTCCGATCCCCGTTTTGGGTGAGCGTGCGACGGATCTGCGGACAAACGCGAGTGCAGCAGATTTGAAAAGAATTTGTTCGCTTTGTGCCGATGTCCATATCAGGAAAACCAAAACGTGCGACAACCACGATGGGAAGGAATCCGAAAGTGGCCAGGCTTTCTGGAGAATTTTTTTTATTTTTTTCCTATAGGTCTTCCTTTATTTCTTGATTTTACTTTATAAAAGTAATGACGACGTTGTCACCTTCGGGGATTTCTTTTAGATTAATTAAATTTTCTGCCCACCTCGCGCGCTCTCGTGTTCCCAGTTTAACCTTTCGAATGGTTTCTTGACCTCGCTTCCGCCAAATCTCTCCAGGTTTGCGAAGCGACCAAGGGCAAGCTGTTGACAACCCTCTCGTTTGTCCTTGGTGACCTCTGTTGGGCGAACGGGAAATAGGTCGGTCGCGATGCCACCGCCTCGCTCCGGGGGCAGAAAGATTTAAATTAGCTGAGTCGATCTTCAACTTGTATAAAACACGTCGTCCGAGTGATTTAAATTAGAAAGGGGTCAGCTCCTTCTACCAGATCCGGTCGAGGGAAGCAGCCGACGTTACACCCTCCCGCATTTG